GATGCACATGGCAGCAAGGATCCCCCCTCCCTTCGCACAGCACCCTTACACACACAGCACACAAACTGCACCCTCACACACACAGCACACAAACAGCACCCACACACACACAGCACACAAACAGCACCCACACACATACAGCACCCACACACACGGCACACATACAGCACCCTCACACACAGAGCATTCTCACACTCACACACACAGTACACTAACAGCACCCTCACAAACACACAACACCCTCACACACAGCACACTAACAGCACCCTCACACAAACAGCACACTCACACAAACAGCACCCTCACACAAACAGCACACTCACACAAACAGCACACTCACAAATACACTACACAAACAGCACCCTCACATACAAACATCACACAAACAGCACCCTCACACACACAGCACCCTCACACAGCACACTAACAGGACCCTAACACACATACACCCTCACACACAGCACACTACCAGCACCCTCACACACAGCACACAAACAGCACCCTCACCCACAGCACACAAACAGCACCCTCACCCACATACATCACACTAGCAGCACCCTCACACACACACACATACACACTCAAACAGCAGTATATGTGTGTGTATGTATATATATATATATATATACACATGCGGCATGTGTTTGTGCTTTAGGGTGCACACCCTAATGCAATAGGCTGCGCACGCCTATGATACTGATATAAATATGAGTGTTTTAAATCAGTAAAATGTATAATGATGATGCTTAGTGAAAGTGCAATTTGTATGTGAAAAATAAAAATATTCCACAATATTTGTTACTAAGCAGCTACTAAAAAATCCTGGAATACCCATTTTGAATATATTGGGTTGTCTACTTTTGCAAATGCCAAGATGGGGGTAATTCTCATTCCTGGGCTGCCATATGTTTCCAAATGCAACAGAGACCAAGCAAACCAATCTCAATGTGTAAAAAGTGAAATGGACAAAACCCCATAAAGTTTGTAAATGAGGGGTACTGTTAAACTTATGAGACTTTGCTAACTACAAATATGAGTATTTAAGAGCAGTAAATGTATAATGATTGTGATATTATCAGTGAAAATGTAGTTTTTGTGTGCAAAATACATAAAACAAATATGAGCACTAACTTTAGCCAGAGTTTGTGACTAAGTGGCTTTTAAAAAAGACTGGACATGGAGGCTCAGCCAGCAGCCTCTCGAGTCGGTCATAGGAGGTGAGAGCTCTGCAAGGTTTGTTGTTACCGGCAGCCTACACTGGTCACATGGAAATATATTGCTGCACTAACCCTCCAGAAGCTGATGGAAAAAAGATCTAAAACATGGGGATACAAAAGGTATCCAAGGCTGCCCAATGGCCCTCTGTAGTTGATGACCCAGTCCCTTCCACTATAGCAGACATCAATGTCCTGGTCCAGGAAATTAGGGTAATAATCCAAGCCAATGTAGCAGTGATGAGGAAGACGTGGCCACCATTACCAACATGATTGTCATTGTTGAACTTGACATGGGGACTGTGAAAGTGGTACAGTTGGCCCAGATGTGGCCCTATGTACAGTGCAAAAGAGCAATGTCGATATGCTTAACCGTGTGGCCACCCTGGAAGACAGGACCAGTGCAAGAAACATGAGACTCAGGGTGGTCCTTGAGACTGTCAACACCAAGAATTACGACATTTTATCAGGCAGCTTCTGGACACACTACTGCAACCGTAACAGGTAAAACTGGTTGTAATGGACTATTGCTTCTGCTTATCTAAAGCACCCAGAGCTCCTTTGGAGACTGGCAGAAATGTACTCATCAAATTTGTTCGGGACTCTGACAGAGAGATTATCATGGGGGAAACTAGGGATGTGTATTGGCAAAAAATTTGGAAATTCAGGTTAGTAAAAGAAATTGTCTGCTTCGGCAATTTGGACCAATGGCATTTGGTTTGGTTCAGCATTCCGGCATTCATTTGGGGTATTTGGCAGTACAGTATGTTATTCGTTTCAGGCATTAGGCAGTTCGGAATGTCGTTCGTTTTGAAAAATAAACATTTGTGTATTTTTCTCTTAAACAGCAATATTTTACATTGCATAGTGGATCACAGCAGCACCCAGACCACTTAATCTTAAAGATGTGGCCTGGGTTTAGCTAATAATTAGTAGTAAAGTCTCCATCTGGTAGTTCTAGCTCTTAGAGTAGGGAAGGTGCATCAGAGAGGTGAGTGAGGGAGTGGGTCTTGCCACCTTTCTCCACAAGAAGCCTGTGCATCCCCCATTTGTAGGACACCCTGTGTTTCTGGAGTAACTGGGTGAGTTGCTGGAGTGATTGCCTCCAGAGGATGGTGTGGCATGACAAGTCCTGGCAGAAGGTAAGCGGGTGGCCTTCAGAACTCATGGAACGTGTACTACTGATTTCCCCTAGACATTTGCAATTAGTTTCGTTCCGAATGTACATTCGTACGAATTTCATGCCATTCGGATGCTTATGAATGTATCACTTTAGTATCACGTTTACCTTAATGAAACTCTTTTTTGATGCTCGGAGCATTTCATAACTATGGTTACACACAATACATCAGTTGACAGTCTCCAGCATACTGTTTTTCTTTTAGTATTTTTAAAATTAAAAAAATGTACTGTGCCTTTGACACAATCACTTTTTCTGTCATATTTTGGTGAATTTGCTGACATGTCTTTACCTTTCTGTATCCTTATTGAAGCACAACCAAAATAAAGAATATAAAAAAAAGCCTGGTTATATCCCATTTTTATTACTCTGGGTTTCCTACTTTTAGAAATGGTATGCTGTTATGGGGGTAATTTTCAATACAAGGCTACCAAAGAGCCTTAAATGCAAGATAGACCAAGCAAATCAATCTGCCAAATTTCAATGTGCAAAGACTGAAATTGGCAAGCTCTTTAATTGACCCTGTAGCTTTCCAAAATGCCATGAAACCTGTACATGGGGGACATCATTGTACTCGTGGGCAATCACAGTCTACAAATAGGTATGTTTTGTTGAAGTAAAGGCTAACAGTATAGTGACATTCACAGTCAAAATGCTATGCAGGAATGCGTAAAAATAACATTTCTTAATTTCTCACACCTTTTTAGATTTTAATCATCTTAAATTGTGTGTTCTATATATATACATATATATAGTTAGATGATAAATGAAAGTCCTATATCTCATTTACAACAACATGGGGTATAATAAGTGTGGGTGCACTTAATATGAAGGAGGTAAATTGTAATTGAACAGACATATTGTTTAAATTCTAGATGTGTTGTTTTGGTCAGAACATGTACAATTGCCTCCATCCTTACAGGGTTAAGCTGTGAACTTGTCCTTTTTGAATCCCGCAAACATCTTCTATTTAGTATTTTTGTAGTTTAAAGGCTCATGTACTGTTGTATTCAGTAAAGCATTGCGAATAAATCCAACACTGGTGATTGAATATTTTTTTAATAGCATCCTTGAGCCCATCTGGACTTTGCAAATCTATTTTGATAACATTGAATATTTTATTGGAGAAGACCCTCGGAACTTGGTTGTTTCAGGGGTTCATCATGTCTAGATCTACTTAATTCATTACCTTTTTTCGTAAGAAGGATAGTACACATCTAGGAGCTATTATCCTCTCATAAAATCTGTTCTGAAGTTAGTCAAGAAAGAACAGGATTATGTGTCTAAATGCAATGTATTATGCCAAACACAACATAGCCCTAAAATAACAATTATATTTGCGGCAATAAAAAAGTCAACAACGAAAATCTCACAACCTTGCATCGAAAAACTCCCTGGAACATATCTAATCTCAAAAAGTTGGATACTTTTAGATGTAATTTTTACATCATCACATCAAAGTAATATACTTTCATATTTTAAGTTCTACTTTATGTGTATTAGCAAAAAAAGTTATTATTAATAATTCCATCTGATGGCAACAAAATATTATAGCATGTCTTACAATGCTGTGATCTATCACTCAGAGATGTGGAATAGATTTATTTTCATAAACCAAACTTTTAAAAGCATATGGTTTTTCTGTAAAAAGTACCTCACCCATCTAAAATTTGACTGACTTGTTCATTGATGTCACTGTGCCACTGATTCCTTCTGTCACATACTGAGGAATGTGCTACATCACTCCTGACAAGATTGGGTTGTTCTTTTGCAATACAGGTTTGAGTGTTGATTTATTATATTTCTTCACAATGAGTTTTCAATGTCTCACTATTCGTCATCATTTTGAATGGCACTGGTTACGAAACAATATCCGCAAAAATCATTTAGTAAAGCATAAACTAAAAATTCAAAGTACAGAATTACAATGACATTAAAACTAAACTGAACTATTAAAAACACAAAAAGTCACCAGCGCAATATCCCAAATCCTTACGCACATATGGATATGTGTAAAAATAGGGAAATACAAAAAAAAAAAAAGCACTTCAAAAGGTTAAGCTTAATTAAAAAAAAGTGCATAGAGATTTGGAATAGTGAGTAGTTTGTGTTGTGATCTTTTGTTTAAATAGATTGGTTTCGGTTGTGTTGTTGTGTAGTATGTGTGACTAGAGGATGTAAACGTTTTAATCCAAAACTGTTGGTATTTAGTGACTCTAGATCTGAACCTCTGCTAGGCTAAGTTCACTCTTTGCCATGGTTTGACATTTGGCCAGTCCGGGACTGGCTGCACATACCCAGGGCATTGTTAAAGCTCTCTGAAACCCTTGGGTCTGTATCAGGGTAATTAGAACTACCAAAGAAGGGCAATGCGAATTTGAAGTTTGGTGGTTTGTATATAGCAGAATCATTCATGTTATATGCAGGTTTGGCTGATTTCAACAGACAATCAAACTGCAGTCACAAGGAGGTGAAACTTCACTTGAAATAACAGAATTAACTTTTTCTGTATAGTAAATGTGTAAAAACATAAGATTGTAAAAACTAAACCACACTCTTCCAAATGTTCATTTTTAATAAGGGTGTTGCACTGATCCATACGAAGTCTTAATTCTGGTGAAGATTGATTCAGCATACGTTGAATAGGTGTAGCAGAAGTTTGATAATGCCTCCTTCTCATCCTTCCAAGATAGACAGAATTAATTTAGCACCATTATGTTGGGTAAACATATCTGGACACAAGATGTACTTGAAGAACACAAATGACTATAAGCTAAGATTCTAAGAATCTAAAACTAAATTTAAGAGCCACAAAACAGAAAAGAATGATGTGCCTTATTGGAATATTGCGATATTTCTGTAATTAAAGTTTCCTTATGAAATATCTGTACTTGGTATTTTTGTTTCACAAACAGAGTAAACGCCCTTATTTAAATGTAAGCACTAATTTATCTCTGGGAATTACAAAAGGCTATGTCTCTTCATGTGCTAACTGTTGAGTAACACTTGCAAGTACTGAGCTGAACTCCCTTCCTTTCACACCCTTATCTGAAGATGTAAAGATGTGTTCTACAAAGGCCTTCAAATGAATCTATAGATTTTGATGGCAGATAAAAATGGCCAATTTAGCTTTCCTATTATAAAATTGGATGCGTATTTTACATTTGTAGAGTTATACACATACCAGTCATGCTTGAACTTTCTTTCCGTGACTTCCTACACTACTTTAATTTACATCTATTTAATGCACTCACAACCTTTCCTATATTAAATAGCATTATAACATCTAAACCTTCAGTCTTACATCTTCTGGCTTCTATTAATATCCATTTGGTGCAGTACCTGCAATGGGGAGAAAAAAGCCTTACAGTACTTAGCTCATTGGATGTATTGGCTGAGAACGTCATCTGGTTGCCAGTCTACCTTTAGTTCGTAGTGTGAACATATGTAACCTGCTACTGACATGCTGTCAGCCATTTTGCTGTTTGTCCGCCATCTTAGAGAAGACAAAGAATATTTGAAGAATTATATGTTGCTTTTTTTACTTACTGTGTTACTCTTTACAAATTTCATTTCTACAGAAGACTGTTTCTTGGACTGTAACAGGAAAGGATATTTTGCAAGTAGGGGGAAGATCTGTGATCAGCTCTAGAAGAGGAAGCTAAGGGTTGTGAAATGAACTGCTAGTTGTAAACGTGTTAGCTTAGATTAGGTAAGGGTAGGGTTATTCTAATGGAATATCTGTAGTAAGACACATGCCAACACTGGACAGGTTAAATTCTAGACTTATGTATTAAGTTACAAGTTTCCTTGTCAATCCATCTGTTAGAAAGATCTACTGAACATGTACTGTGACCCTTAAACTTTTTATAACCTTAAAACTGTCTTTTAAGAATTTAGCCAATAGGAAATGTGACCATATTTGGAGTTGTAAATGAGTTAAAAGGAGGGCTATTTCCGTGTTTAAAGTATAAGAGATGAGGAAAATGTAATGTGATTGCAGATTGCTACTTCCACAGTAGGAAGTGACATAACAATATCTTCTGAAAGTTGAAGAGGAGCTTCCACTAATGGGGTCTGAAGTAACACTTGTAAGTCTTCTGATATTTGATATTTTAATGGAGCAGAAAGTAGTGACAGTAAAAACACCTCTATTAAAATACTTGAATTAATCTAGTCTGAAGATGACTGATTCCACTTACAGGAGAGCTGTTAAATTAAAACTGTTACACTAAAGTTTTGTGCAATGCAAGAGCTAACTGAATAGCTTTTTTTCAATTCTGAACAGATTTTATTTTTTAATTACCTATGTACAGCACGGCAGAATGTGCTGATGCTTTATAAATAAAGTAAAATAATAGTACATTTAATTTCATCCCTGGCGATTTGTGTAAATTAATTTATGTAAGGAATGTCTGAGCTTGTGCACATTCAGACTACAAATCTCTTTAAATGACCAAACAATCATGAGCACCGTCAGAGCATAATAAGGTGCTAACGTGAAGTGAAGTGCAGAGGAGGTAAAGGTTGTTTTTTTTTGTTTTATATGAAAGGAATGTGCCAAAACCAAGTAGTACACTGCAAATGCACAACACTGTCTACATGAATATAAAGAAATAAAAAATATATCATATATTTTACATGCACTAAGATATAACCTCTAGTGAAACCAAATACTTGTACCTGGAATAAGATCACAGCGATCAGGGTAAACTCATATATGAATCCAAATACGAAAAAAATATAACCCCACAAAGTAAATGTATCATAATGCAATACTGTACATTAAAAGACAAAACGAGGAGGCAACAATATGTCTATCCAACCAACTGTGGCCAAACAGCCATATAAACCCAAAAAAGGAGAGGAAGGAAGAGAATCTGTCCCTATATTGTTAGATAAAAATCACGAGGATACTTTATTTCAAAAAGGAAAAAGCACAATAAATAGATTGAATGTAACTGTCTAACTCAGACAGATATGTGTGCATAGACATATGAACACAGGGTAGGGGGAGTGGACAAACAACACAAAGAAATATATATATTTCACAAAAATCTAAGGAAATAATTTGGAGTGAAGCTCATATCAGCAGTCTCCAAAATCATGGTTTAGACGCACAATCATACAAGCTTAGCTGTTGGAGATTCTAAACTCTGAAAAGAGAAAGAAAACTAAAGCAGAAAAGATCACTAACGAGATAGATATAAGGTCCGGGGTAAGAACCGTTAAGATCAAAAACAGTCTAGAGTATATAATCAAATGTGAATTAAACTAGCTCTGATGTGCAGAGAAGTAACTAAATGACCTGTTACATATGTTTCACAAGGTTATCACTGATCAAAACAGTGTATACAGTGACCAATAGTAGCACATCATTTCGAGCGAGACTCTTACGAATTAATACATGCTGAAAACAGCGGACCTAGAAAGCCGGTCCGATATAAAGAAAGTCTAGCTAAATCGTCCTGCTAAACAGAGGGATTAAGCAGTATAGCAGGAGAGCGCTTAATGAAAGTGGATAGAATAAAAATAGAATGAGAATAGTGTCTTCATGGACACTGGTAACAGTAAAGTTCAAAGAAAATCAATATAGAGAAAGTAAGAGACTCTAGAATTGCTACAAAATATAAGATGTGGCAAAACAGTCGCTAAGCTATGTGAGTTACCCTGATCGACATTTTACTTCTAATGCACTCAATATAGGCTAGTAATCAGCCAGTGGTGCAAACCTCGGAGCAAATATTATCAAGTAAAGACTGCTTCCCACAGGTCTTAGAGATAACTTAGAAAGTTAGTTCAGCTATCTCAAGCTGAGAGGTTTTGGACTATGTCAGGCAGAGAAGCGGGAGATGCACGCATGAAGTGCCGGGAAGAAAGGTCGGAACAATATCACGAACCTGATGCGCGTTTCGCCTGGTTTAAAGGCTCGTCAGGGGGAAATAACTCCCCCCAGTGGCTCAAATTAAATATACCGCCCTCAGACATGATTGGTCCGATTGGGAGGGCAGGAGGTGTGTGTGTCAGTACGGTGGCTGAGTAGACTCAAAAAAGAAAACAATTTGCTTAATGCAATTGCTTGTGTATTCAGACAGTTTTAAACCTAAGTCATGATAACTAGGATTTTCTAACGAATAGTCTCGCAAGAAAGATTAGAATGAAAATAAAAAAGAGGTACATCTGAATTTATAGAAATTAATAATTAATGAAATATATGAAGTAGAAATAAGTTAAAAAGAAGGAAAATAAATTAAATTAAATAAAAATAAATAGACAAAAGGGGAAAAAAGAGATAATGGTCATGAAGTTACATCTTAAAAGAGCTTATTAGTATTGATATAAGTCACCCGAGGGAGTGTCAATATGGATCATGACACTGATAAATACTATGTTAAAATAATACCTTAATTTCCAGTACCATCAATATGGTCAATGGAATATCTTAACAACATAATCACTGGAATAAATGTAGAGTGCACAATAAAAGTGAATTATTTTGCCTAGTTACTGATGTATGAATGAGGTATAATTAAATTCCTCATTCAAACCTCGTGGGGCTAGGATCTTGAATGCAAAAATCCATTGAGATTCTTTCTGTAATATAATTTTGTTGAAGTTACCCTTTGTTGGGTTAGGTAACAATTTTTCAATGGCCTGGAATTGTAAATTGTCAGATTTACCATTGTGAAAGTTTAAAATATGTCTCGCCACAGGAGTGGGGGTGACAGTATTATTGATTGAATTGATGTGTTGCAAAATCCTCCGTCTGAATTGTTGAAAGGTTTTGCCAATGTATTGGACTCCACAGCTACAAGTAATTTAATAAATTACTCGTGTGGTGCTGCAGTTCACAAGGGCATTAGTGTTAATATTGATATGAGTTTGGGTAGAAGTGACTGATTTAGAGGACCATATATATTTGCATGCCTTACAATGGCCACATTTGAAAGTTCCCTTTAAGTCTGATAGCCAGTTAGTTGGTGGTACAGGAGATAATAAATGGCTATGGACTAATTGATCTTGAAGATTCGTGGGTCTACGTGCAGTTAAGGGAGGATAATTTGGTAGAATCTTATGAAGTACTGGATTGTGCAGAAGTATTGGCCAGTTCTGCTTTAAGATTCTAGCCATGTGTCCCCACCCTTGGTCAAATGTGGCAATGCATCGTGGGGCCTGTGACTGTGATACTGGTTTGGTAGAATGAAGACTAGAGAGTCTGTCGATGTCACAGACACGATGGAAGGCCTGTTTGAGGACACGGTTCGGGTATCCTAATTCCTTAAAGCGGGATCTTAAGATTTTACATTCATTGTAAAAGGTCTGATCCTGTGAACAATTACGTCTTGCCCTAAGATATTGACTATATGGGATGGAGGCTTTAAGACAGTACGGATGATGACTCTTTATATCGGACCAGCTTTCTAGGTCCGCTGTTTTCAGAATGTATTAATTTGTAAGATTCTCGCTCGAAATGATGTGCTACTATTGGTCACTGTATACACTGTTTCGATCAGTGATAACCTTGTGAAACATATGTAACAGGTCATTTAGTTACTTCTCTGCACATCAGAGCTAGTTTAAGTGACATTTTTTATTATATACTCTAGACTGTTTTTGATCTTAACGGATTCTTACCCCGGACCTTATATCTATCTCGTTAGTGATCTTTTCTGCTTTAGTTTTCTTTCTCTTTTCAGAGTTTAGAATCTCCAGCAGCTAAGCTTGTATGATTGTCCGTCTAAACCATGATTTTGGAGACTGCTGATATGAGCTTCACTCCAAATTATTTCCTTATTTGTGAAATATATATATTTCTTTGTGTTGTTTGTCCACTCCCCCTACCCTGTGTTCATATGTCTATGCACATATATCTATGTCTGAGTTAGACAGTTACATTCAATCTATTTATTGTGCTTTGTCCTTTTTGAAATAAATAAAGTATCCTCGTGATTTTTATCTAATTAACAATATAGGGACAGATTCTCTTCCTTCCTCTCCTTTTTTGTATCTTATTACCTTAGGGTTACCCCCTTATCTGTTCCCTGGATTTTTGGATAATCTCTCAGGCCGTCCCCTCTTTTGCATTAAGCCATATAAACCCATATCACGAATCCAGAGTTCACTGTGACATATGGTATATGGGCCCATGTCTACATGACTTGTCGTTGAGCCATTCTGTACTCAACAAGCTTGTGTGGTACGATGTCTAAAGACAGATTTTGCTTTCGAGAAGCAATAACATTTCTGTAGTTGCCTATATTTGGAACAATTAAAAAAAGCTACTCACACTTCAAACTGCTAATCTGTGTAAATTTTTCTTTCTGTCATTTTATTGTTGGTTTTTGTAGCAAAACGCAATGAAGAAATATAAAAAAATAAAAAAATAAATAAAACAGATTGTGTCTACGGCTAAGCTGAGCTGAACAAATATTTGCAGAGCAGAAATCTAGCTCCCATACTTCTTACAATGCAGATTGCATTGGCTTCCCTCTAGCCATCTAGCAAAGGAAGAGAAAAATACATTATCAGAAGAAGCAGCAATGTGTGACAAATTCAGTAAAGATAGTTCGTTCTCATTTTTTTTACATTAGGTCTTTAAAGTTATCATTCTTTAAAAGCTGTGAGGAAATTACACCGTTGGCTAAAACATTAAAATAAATTTATAACTTGTGTAAACCTTTTTTTTTCATATTGTGCTCCATTTTTGTTTTAAATGTATAGTAAAGACTTAGCAAGTGACGTCACAATCCAGTAAAATCCAGGCACAGCCAAGGCATACAATGCAAATGAGAGGAGAACAAAACATCGTTTTGGTTTCTCCTCTTCTATTAACTATGGCATTTATTTATTTATTTTTAATCAGCATCAGAAATTATTCCAATACGCTGAATCTTTTCAAATTATTTATCTATGAAAAAATCCCATAGTTTATATGGTGGCTTCTGTAGAAAAGCATATGAAAAGCTTTTTTCTAACAGATTGAAAAAATTTCTGACACTGATTCAAACAAATTAAGGCCTGTGTTAGTAGAAGAGGAGGAAATGTCAACATTTAAAACAAAGATTGACAGAGAGCCAAAAAGGATTGACAGAGCACAAAAACGGCGGCACCCGTCCTTGAAAATATATGGGGATTTCGACATTTTATTTTATTTTCCAGATCTCACAAAACCATATTTGTCAAATATAAAGGATAAGTAAATATGGTATTGAAAATCCTGGTAAGTTACAATTCCATTTTAACTGAAAAAAAAATCTATATAATTTGCTATTTTGATGGTTAGGAATAATATTTATTGTAAGTCAAATACCAATTGCGAATATGTGGTTGTGTGTTAATACAACACATGACTGCGTATTTTTGATGTGAGGTCATCCAGTGTTCTAATTTATGGATATTTTTGTGCATTTGGGAAATTTACTACCAGTTCACTGTTTAATGTATATATTACTACTAGTAAAAAAAAATGTAAAAGTACTTATCAAGTATTTTTTTGTACTTTGTTAGTATATGCCGTCTTAAAGTATGTGTTTTACATTTACTTTCCCTGTTGACTTCTTGAGTTTTGAGTCACTGCAAAAATACCAAGCAGTCTAGATCTTTCTATTTTCTTTAACCTACAAAGCCTAGAGCAACAACACAAACCGGTTTTTCATTTTAATAACAGGGAGTTGCCTTGCACAGTAAACTATCATTAAAATAATTGAGCTAATTCAAGTTATTTATAAATAAATGCTGAATATTTTAGAATGTATGCCAGATTTATAAAAGGAGGTGTATTTAAATGACTGCTATGTTTTCTCTGAGCTGTCATGCTCACAGGGTCATATAAATATCCATTTAAGGTGTGCCACACAATCAGTTTTGCCCTGCAAGATCAACCCAACACTTCGACTGAGCTGCACAGAGGTTATTGTGCCTGCGTTAGGCATCAAACAAGGTAAGGCTTTGGGGTAACTTGGCTGTTTCATATAAAATTTAACTCGCCAGGAGAACGGGAGTTTAGATTTGTAAAAAAAAATTAAAAATCAGATGTCTTATTGTATAGCGATAGCCCACTCTGGAGTATTAAATCAATTAAGTGGAAAAAAAAAGTGAAAAATAAATAAGTTGTAGGTAACAAAGAACTTCTAATAAATTTGGGCTGCTACTCAAAGACCAGATCAGAGCAACTTCAATGAGAATATCACAAAACAGAAAATATGGTGTGTGGGCTCTGAAATAAATGAAAAACATGAATATTTGTTTTTCTTTTTTTTTCAGAGCACACACACCATGTTTTCTGTTTAAAAAAAAACAGTGAATGCCAATAAACTGAATACAGCTTTTAATCAACAGCAGCTACAACCTATGTGACTTTTTGATAATGTTCCATGTTGAGAATTGCTGTCATATCGTTATAGTTAGTTTTTAAGATATCAATTTATTCTAATAGAACCAAGATTATGTTATGTTTGTGTTACGCAATATTACATAGCTCATTGGTTTAAAGCAAATAAAAACAAAACCTAATTTAAACTTGAACTTTCTTAATTTTAAAATACTTCATGATTCTAAAGGTGTGACGTATACCGTATATTAACTGTATAAAAAAAATAGAACTCATATATTTCACAAAACTATTCTAACCTGTAAGGGAAAAGAAGGCGAAATTAAAACTTTTTAAAAATGAAAACACTAATAATTTGGTGTCAATATATATATATATATATGTATATATATATATATATATGTATGTATATGTAAACTAGACTAGTAACGGTTTTATCTTAAATCAGTTTGTATATGCAAACCCATCTAATAATTTTCAAGTATATTTCTATTCAACATTTTGCCATACAGGCAAGCAATATTAATACATTTAGAGTGAATATTAATTTCACTTCATTTATACCTTAAAATTTTAAGTTTATTAACTTATTTATTAACAGATTGTGGTAAATTTAAAACAGAATTATAAAATTGAGGCTAGACTATCTAAGCTGTGACTATAACTAAGAGAAATATTTTCAAAATCAGATATTTTTTTGTGTAAATTTTTCAATGACCATTTTAATTCACAATTAGGTATTTAATGATTAAACCCCATAATTGTAATTTTTTTACAGGTTTTTAATTGTATCGATGTTCATGTGGGCTGTGTAAATACAAAATGTGTTGTTTTTAAAAAAAAAAAACTTATCTATACCAAACCAAAAAGACTATTAACACAACTGATGGAACAAGATGGTGGAGCTCAAAGTGCAATAACATTTATGAGTACCATTTGAAGCCTTTTTCCATCTTAAGTGTAAAATCATCTTCTTTCTCTATTCCCTTTGTCTTGAAAATACCACTTTCTATTTTATATATTTGTCATTTAATAATTTATGATCAGAGCCTTTTTAAAATTCTCTTTACCAAGAACTAAGAATTGTTTTTCATTTGCCTTAAACACAAGACCTTAATTATCTGTTCTACCTATTTTTCCCTATTCACCCTTTATTCAGTTGCCCTTCTTCTCTTGCCCACGTATCCCTGCCCACTTCATTTCTGTCCCTCAGATTTATTTTCCTTCTTTTTCTCCGACCATGATTTACATTTCTCCATGTCCTCACTCTGTGCCCCTTATCAATAGCTCATAGATTTCCTACCCTTGGTTCACACTAAGCTTGATTCCCATCCTGTCTCTTGTTGAATCCTTTTCCTCACCCCTTCTCACAATTAGGATTGTCCTTTTTGCCCTTGAAAAAAAAAATAGAAAAATAAAAGTTTGGTGCTGTTTGGTGCTGCTCAGCACAGACCTGCTCTCTCTGCAGGTCAGATTGTATTTCCCCCTTTCTGCTTTGAGACCTGCTAATTAAAGCCTCAGCAGTTGCTAATTGGGAAGGTGAATGAGTACAGGCTATGGAGGAGTCTGGGTCCTAAATACCTTCCTTCTATTACCCTCCCATAGACTCTGTCACAATATATATATATATATATATATATATATATATATATGTGTGTGTGTGGCTGTATATGTGTGTGTGCTGTATATGTGTGGGAGTGTGCTGTGTGTGTGAGCGAGGGTGCTGTCTGTCTGAAGGTGCTGTGTGTGAGTGAGGGTTCTGTGTGTGTCTGAAGGTGCTGTGTGTGTCTGAGGGTGCTGTGTTTGTCTGGGTGCTGTGTGTCTGGGGGTCCCTTGTGTGTCTGAGGGTGCTGTGTGTGTTTGGGTGTTGTGTGTGTTTGGGTGCTGTGTGTGTGAGGGGGCTGTTAGTGTGAATGTATTTTTTATTTAAGTTTAAATATATATTTTTTTATTAATAATTAAAAAAGTTATATCCCCCCTCCGTACTTACCTTACGCCAGGGAGGAGGGGGGGAAGCCGTGTTGCTATGGGGGGTGCCGTGCTGCCTTCCCTGGTGGTCTTAGTGGTGAGAGTGAACTCTAGCCTACAGGCTAGAGTTCACTCTCACGAGATCTGAGCGTTGCTGCGGTAACCGCAGCAACGCTCAGAATACCGCGAGAGGACCCGGCGGAGCTGCTGGCTAGAGCTCCGCCGGTCCTCTCCTCCCTCACTACCTCCCCAGCCGGCGGCCGCATCTCAGTGCCTGTGGGCCGGTGAGGGAGATCTTTGACACTTGGATAGCGCTGGCCCTGCAGGGGCTGGCAGGGGAGATTCTGTGATCTCCCCTTCCGGCCTCGGCCCACAGCCATCGCGGCCCACCGGGCATTTGCCCGGTATGCCGATGGCCAGTCGGGGCCTGCTATCACCATAATATCTTTATATATTAACTGTTTTGCTTTGCTCATAAAAAGATGGAGAAAACAACAGTGAAAACACAGATTTGTTTTTAAGTATTTACACTTGGTTAATTGTTCTTAAACTTTCCTTTTTATTTTCAGGCAAACATGCAGGTCTTTGTGAAAACACTGACAGGCAAGACCATAACACTGGAAGTAGAAGCAAGTGATACCATTGAAAATGTGAAATGTAAGATCCAGGACAAAGAGGGCATTCCACCTGATCAGCAGAGATTGATCTTTGCAGGCAAGCAGCTTGAAGATGGTCGCACTCTTTCTGACTACAATATCCAGAAAGAATCCACTTTGCATCTGGTCCTTCGTCTGAGAGGTGGTATGCAGATATTTGTTAAAACATTGACAGGCAAGACCATCACACTGGAAGTAGAAGCAAGTGATACCATTGAAAATGTGAAAAGTAAGATCCAGGACAAAGAGGGCATTCCACCCGATCAGCAGAGATTGATCTTTGCAGGCAAGCAGCTGGAAGATGGCCGTACACTTTGTGACTACAATATCCAGAAAGAATCCACTTTGCATCTGGTCCTTCGTCTCAGAGGTGGTATGCAGATATTTGTTAAAACATTGACAGGCAAGACCATCACACTGGAAGTAGAAGCAAGTGATACAATAGATAATGTGAAATGTAAGATCCAGGACAAAGAGGGCATTCCACCTGATCAGCAGAGATTGATATTTGCTGGCAAGCAGCTGGAAGATGGCCGTACACTTGGTGACTACAATATCCAGAAAGAATCCACTTTGCATCTGGTCCTTCGTCTCAGAGGTGGTATGCAGATATTTGTTAAAACATTGACAGGCAAGACCATCACACTGGAAGTAGAAGCAAGTGATACCATTGAAAATGTGAAAAGTAAGATCCAGGACAAAGAGGGCATTCCACCCGATCAGCAGAGATTGATCTTTGCAGGCAAGCAGCTGGAAGATGGCCGTACACTTTGTGACTACAATATCCAGAAAGAATCCACTTTGCATCTGGTCCTTCGTCTCAGAGGTGGTATGCAGATATTTGTTAAAACATTGACAGGCAAGACCATCACACTGGAAGTAGAAGCAAGTGATACCATTGAAAATGTGAAAAGTAAGATCCAGGACAAAGAGGGCATTCCACCCGATCAGCAGAGATTGATCTTTGCAGGCAAGCAGCTGGAAGATGGCCGTACACTTGGTGACTACAATATCCAGAAAGAATCCACTTTGCATCTGGTCCTTCGTCTCAGAGGTGGTATGCAGATATTTGTTAAAACATTGACAGGCAAGACCATCACACTGGAAGTAGAAGCAAGTGATACAATAGATAATGTGAAATGTAAGATCCAGGACAAAGAGGGCATTCCACCTGATCAGCAGAGATTGATATTTGCTGGCAAGCAGCTGGAAGATGGCCGTACACTTGGTGACTACAATATCCAGAAAGAATCCACTTTGCATCTGGTCCTTCGTCTCAGAGGTGGTATGCAGATATTTGTTAAAACATTGACAGGCAAGACCATCACACTGGAAGTAGAAGCAAGTGATACCATTGAAAATGTGAAATGTAAGATCCAGGACAAAGAGGGCATTCCACCTGATCAGCAGAGATTGATATTTGCAGGCAAGCAGCTTGAAGATGGTCGCACTCTTTCTGACTACAATATCCAGAAAGAATCCACTTTGCATCTGGTCCTTCGTCTGAGAGGTGGTATGCAGATATTTGTTAAAACATTGACAGGCAAGACCATCACATTGGAAGTAGAAGCAAGTGATACAATAGATAATGTGAAATGTAAGATCCAGGACAAAGAGGGCATTCCACCTGATCAGCAGAGATTGATCTTTGCAGGCAAGCAGCTGGAAGATGGCCGTACACTTGGTGACTACAATATACAGAAAGAATCCACTTTGCATCTGGTCCTTCGTCTCAGAGGTGGTATGCAGATATTTGTTAAAACATTGACAGGCAAGACCATCACACTGGAAGTAGAAGCAAGTGATACAATAGATAATGTAAAATGTAAGATCCAGGACAAAGAGGGCATTCCACCTGATCAGCAGAGATTGATCTTTGCAGGCAAGCAGCTGGAAGATGGCCGTACACTTGGTGACTACAATATCCAGAAAGAATCCACTCTGCATCTAGTGCTTAGACTGAGAGGTGGTTAAAAATGATATAAGTTTTTTTTTATACTTTGCGGTTGTATTAAAAAATTAATCAAATACACTTTGAAATACAGCTACTTGAAATCATTTTATTACTTTCGTTGATAATTTGTTAACCAAACACTGAATAAAAATTGACCTTAATAGTGTCATTTTATGGTTTATTAAAATAAAAGTATACGTTTGTATATTCACTTGTCTTTAACTTTACTTTGCAATTTATTTACACAAATTAAGTCCAAAGCCTATCATATATTGTCTATTTGCCATTTTCTACAGCTACATGCATCTTTCCCTTCCTCCCTGTAGCCCAGCAGCAGATATGACACGGCCCACAAAGGGCACTCACCACTAGCTTTTGGTGAGTGAAAACATAGCCCAGGTGAGTGGAACACCCCTGGTTGAGTGTGACATGAACTTTAGAGGGACACAACTTTATCTAAATTAAATAGTTATGGTGCCAGGAGTTCCCCAAAGGCACACTTGCCTCAAGGTACAGTTGTTGAATGGTTTATCCCCAAAGTTACCTCCAGCGATGATCGCCACTCCCCCCCCCCACCCCACCCCCGAAGCAGCATCCGGCTTTGGAAATGTTACTTTCAGGAAGTACCTGCTAGGTAGGGGCGCTGCTGACTGGCTGAGAGTGGTCTCCCAATTCACAAAACTGGCTTGGAATGAAACAAACCTTTTCCTACTTTAAGATCTGGCTAGTGGCATGGGATGTAAACTGTTAACCCCTTAGTTCACTACATCACTTAAAACAAGACATGTGTGACTGATCTTTAAAGGGAAGCAGTTAAAGGAACACTCAAAGCACCATAATCACTGTAGCTAGAGCCACGCCAGCATAATCTGTTAAAGTTTTTTTAACATGTTATAACATTTACCTGAGTACTGCAGGACATCACCTCCTGCTTCCAGTCTTAGAGATGGAGAATTGGGATTTTTAGTTTTGTTCAATACAAAAATGTATTTGACTTATCCATTGGCGTAGCATGCTCAGCTGACTCTCCCAATGAAAGAATTACTAAATCAGTATCTGGCTTCTGCTGTTCAAAAAGACTGGAAGCAGTGTAGAGGCAGGGGCGTATTAGCAGCGAGGCAAACAAAGCATTTGCCTTGGGCGGCATTTTTCAGGGGGCGGCAAAAAAAGCCGCCCCCCCAAATGCCCAGGGCAAATGCCTTGTTAGCCTTGCGGCTAACAGACATGCTGGGCTGGGCGGGCGGCGCTGGCTGATGGTCGGGCGGGCGGCTGGCGAGGGAGCACTTACTCTGAGCAGTCTGCTCAGCTCCCTCATGCTCCGCAGAGTGAGGCTGGGAGCTGGGTTGATGACGTCATATTCTGGCTCCCAGCCTCACTGTGCGGCGCGCGAGGGAGCTGAGCAGACCACTCAGAGGAAGAGCTCCCTCGCCAGCCGCCCGCCCAGCAGCCAGCCCATCAGTCCGACGGGCAGCCAATGGAACACCAGGGAGAAAGAGGAACCCCCCCTCCCCCCAGCACTCCCAAAGGTAAGGAGGCTGAGGGGGGGTTAAATAAAAAGAATTTTTTTTTGGATGTGAGTGATTGTGTGTGTCTGACTGTGTGTGTGTGTGTGTTTGTGTCTGACTGTGTGTTTGTGTGTGTTTGTGTGTCTGACTGTGTGTGTCTTTGTGTCTGACTGTGTGTGTGTGTGTGTGTGTGTGTGTGTGTCTGACTGTGTGTGTGTGTGTGTGTGTGTCTGACTGTGTGTGTTTGTGTCTGACTGTGTGTGTGTGTGTGTGTGTGTGTCTGACTGTGTGTGTTGTGTCTGACTGTGTGTGTGTTGTGTCTGACTGTGTGTGTGTGTGTGTGTGTGTGTGTGTGTGTGTGTGTGTGTGTGTGTGTGTGTGTGTGTGTGTGTGTGTGTGTGTTTGTGTCTGACTGTGTGTGTGTCTGTGTGTGTGTCTGTGTGTTTGTGTCTGACTGTGTGTGTTTGTGTCTGACTGTGTGTGTGTGTCTGACTGTTTGTGTGTGTGTGTATTTAGAAGGTGGGGCGGGGCGAAGGGTTGGGTGGGGGTGGCGTAGGGGAGGGGGGTGCCTGAGTTTTGTCCTGCCTAGGGCAGCACAAAACCAGGATACACCACTGTGTAGAGGTGGGTGGCAGGTAAGTGTCTTATTCTGTAATAATCCTGGAATGGCTCCAGGGCACTCCGAGGCACCATAACTACTACAGCAGTCTAAAATGACAATTAATGTTTTTCTCCTATGACAGCAGAGCTGCTTGCCATTGTGTTGTGTAAAACACACCTGTTTGCAAAGTAAATCTCTGTACCTTGTGATGATTAATTGGTTAAATAAATCCCACACACAAAAATTCCTCTCATTCTTAAGTTACTGATTTAGAATAGAAGTCCCTAAATCAGGCAGCACTTTACAACCCTTCTGCTACTTCGCTCATTCTATCTATTTGTTCCACAATCAAATGACAAATAAACATGGATAGACTGGTCACTCTAAGTGAATACAGGGCAGTATAGGGAACTTTGTATGGCCTCCACTTCTTACTCTTTGTCTCCGATGAAACTCTTACTGTGGTATGCTGCCATCTAGTGGTAGAATCTCAATTAGAAGTTGTCACTGAAAAGCATATGGAGCAGGTTGCTAGAAGTTTCTGATTATATATTTGTTTTTCACAAGTATATGTGCACTTGTGGATTTGACTGCTCATTTAAATGAGTTAAACATGCGTCTTCAAGGTGAGAACCAATTTATTACTGCAATGTTTCAAACCACAAAAGCGTTTGAAATGAAATGTAAAGTATGGTAAGCTCAAGTTCTGGAACATAATTTAATACATTTTAATATGTTGGCCTAATGTGACCCAGGGAAGCCAAAAGGTTGGACACCCATGATATGGAGCATGGGGGTCCAACCTTTTGGCTTCCCTGGGCCACATTCAGTGAAAAGAAATTTCCTTGGCCGCATATAATATATTTAAGGTATATAAGTTATAAAACTTAATTTACTTTTTTCCATTTTTCATTATAAAATTTTAAAAAAAGAGGGCAACATAAAACCTTAATAATAATAATAGCTGGTTGAAGATTATACTAGCTTTAGTATACTAATAATCTTAATTTTAGTAATGACAGGAAGCGAGTATTTTGCATAATCTCTGTTTACTAGCTCAAAAGCAGCAAAGAAACACATCACAAGTGAGTAGGATGTACATGAGGTATAGTGAGCACTTCCTCTTTCAGAAAGCGACATCAAGCAGAAGCAAACATATAGCAAGCAATAACAATAACTCCTAAACAGGGCCGGCCTTAGGGGTGTGCGAGCTGTGCGGCCGCACAGGGCGCCATGGAACGGAGGCGCCCTGTGGCCGACACAGCTCGCACATGGTGTCAGGGGAGCTAAAATAGTTGCCCGGGTGGAGGATTAATTATTCTCCACCCAAATCTATAACAAATTAAATAAAAATAAAAATCGAGGGGGCGTGGCTTAATGACCAGTGGATGAGGCGGGGCTTATTGCAAGGCCGAGGCGGGGATAATATCCGAAGCCCCTGCACAGGAAGAGGGATGAAGGAAAGACAACAACCAAGTGCATCCACTCACCCTTCCAGCCAAAATGGAAAGAGGTAAGTCTGTATGTCTGTGTGTGTGTGTGTGTGTGTGTGACTGCCTGTCTGCCTGTTTGTGTGACTGCCTGCCTGTGTGTGTGTGCATGTGAGAGACTGTCTGTGTGACTGTCTGCCTGTGTGTCTGCATGCTGTCTGTGTGTGTGTGTGTGTGTGTGTGTGTGTGTGTGTGTGTGTGTGTGTGTGTGTCTGTCTGCCTGTGTGTCTGCATGCCTGTGTGTGTGTGACTGTCTGTCTGTCTGCCTGTATGTGTGACTGTCTGTGTGACTACCTGCCTTTGTGTGTGACTGTCTGTCTGACTGCCTGCCTATGTGTGTGTGATTGTCTGCCCGCCTGCCTGTGTGTGACTGTCTGTCTGACTGCCTGTGTGTGTGTGTGTGTGTGTGTGAGACTGTCTGCCTGCCTGCCTGTGTGTGACTGTCTTGACTGCCTGTGTGTGACTATTTGCCTGTGTGTGTGTGTGACTTCCTGCCTGTGTGTGACTGTTTGCACGTTTGTTTGTGTGTGTCTGACTGCCTGCCTGTGTGGGGTGGGGGGTGTGACTGTCTGCCTGCCTGTGTGTGTGACTGCCTCCCTGCATGTGTGACTGTCTGATGTGTTTAGCTGTTCGTGATTGTGTGCCTGTAACTGTGTGTGACTGTCTGCCTTTAACTGTGTGTTTGGCTCTGTGACTGTCTGCTTGTAACTGAGCATGTGTGACTGTCTGCCTGTAACTGTGTGTGTGTGTGTGTGTGTGTGACTGTCTGCCTGTAACTGAGCGTGTCTGTCTGCATGTAACTGCTTGTGTGACTGTCTGCTTGTGCCTGTGTGTGTGACTGTATACAGGCAACATGGTGGGGGGGGGGGGGTATGAAGCCTTGTCGCAGAGGGCGCCTAATGGCCTAAGGCCGGCCCTGCTCCTAAATCCAAAATCCGCAGGAGCAAACTTCCCGAGAATTCCACATGAACAACCAAAACGTCTCAGGGACGAATCAAACTGAAAAGAGAATGTGTGACAGGTTTAGACACATAGTCATGAACGTTGAAATCTAAGTAACACACAGAATACATAATTGCATAGTAGTAATGTGTAAACTACAATCTGATAACTGAACAAGAATCATATCAAACTCCAATGACAATTCCAAACCAATGGAAATAAAACCATCAATGTAAGCACAAAATATTAAGAGCCCCAAAATTGTGGACTTAAGCTCACAGATCTTACAGACGAAAATTACCTTGGACCCATGGGCATGCCTGCTGTCCAAACCCACAGAGGGCCTCACTAAACACGCACAAAAGCTCTTTAACATGAATAATCTAGCAGCTCATAGAGCATTGGCACAAAAGTGGCCCTGCCCAGAACTCCCCCAACTATCCCTGGTCAAAGTGAAACTCAGGGTCAATTACCTTATGGACAAGCTAACTGCCCAAGTTAGAAAAACACTGTCTACTTTCAGCAGGGTATGGGACCCATGGGAACAATACGATACATAAAGGAGTATAGGGGAGGGGAGCAGGGAGAGGATAGGGGGGTGGGCCAGAGACCCGATATAGAGACACAAGGCTGCATCCACACTAGGAACTCACAACACAAACTTCTGGGATACATCCTAACCAACCCAGATGCACCAGAATCCCAATGTGTGGCAGCATCACCACTAACAGGAGGCTCTCTGGCCAAGGCTAAGGTACAGGATAAAGGCTTCCGGAGACGCACTGCATAGGATCGGTACGATCCTGGACTTAGCCATCTCGGAGATCACATATTCTTTTCTCTTTCTTTTTCCTTTCCTATACTCTCTCACTTCTCACTTTTCTCTGTTCTCGCAAGTCATACCAACTACCACAACAAGAGGACATAGTCTTAAATTAGAGGGACAAAGGTTTAAAAATAATATCAGGAAGTATTACTTTACTGAGAGGGTAGTGGATGCATGGAATAGCCTTCCAGCTGAAGTGGTAGAGGTTAACACAGTAAAGGAGTTTAAGCATGCGTGGGATAGGCTTAAGGCTATCCTAACTATAAGATAAGACTAGGGACTAATGAAAGTATTTAGAAAATTGGGCAGACTAGATGGGCCGAATGGTTCTTATCTGCCGTCACATTTTATGTTTCTATGTTTCTATGACTTGCAACCCGGCAGAAGGCAGGAAATGGCAGAATTCCAACTAATGTATGTCTATTGCTTCAACAAGCTAAACAGATAAAAGCTTAATATGATGACTGTTGTAAATATACAGTAATAACGAACTGTAACATATTTACTTGTCATTATACAATGCCTGTTCAATGTAACATCTATTGAATATAGCCTACCGATTTGGCAATTTCTCACCTGCAATGTCAATGTATGTAGTTGATTTTGAAAGTAAAACCCTGACAAGACTGCAAACAAGCTGTTAACCACTGTATGAAATGTTACATGCTCTAACACCACGACTTTCCTTTCTGTAACCCAAAAAATACAAATATTGTGACTTGGCTTTTGCATAAGCCTACACTGTCATACTGTTGCATGTCTATCAGTGCAAAAATAAAGAATTAAAAAAAACACAAAAAAAACATTAAGAGCCCAACCTATCTTAGACCACAGAAACATATAAAGAAAGCAAACAGAAAGGGTGGGGTAGCAAAGCAGGGTGGGAAAATACTCGCCTCCTGTCACTACTAAAAGTAAGATTATTAGTACACTAAAGCTAGTATAATCTTCAATTTTACATCATGACAGGAGACTTCGTATTTTGCAATTTAAACGCTGAGAAAGGAATAGAAAAACCAAGGAAGAATCTGAATTAGTGCGATGAGAGACATAGAATGTAACCCTGTCGGGGAAAAAGGAAAAATATCCAACTTGAATGTCCGATACATGACGGAAAGACACCAGACCAAGCATAAACTTAAACTTCACCGATAACTGACTGAGAGAAAGTCCATCATTAGATGCCCAGTCTAGTAGAAAATGGAGAACGATCTCCACATCCCATAAGCTGGAAGTGGATGTCACTGAGTAATTGGCACACAAGAGGATCCTTGCCAACCGGGAGTCACCAGACCGGGACATGGGCTGTTGGACTGGCTAAACTTACCACATTAATCGATCGAGGTTCTGTTCCAAACACCAACCAGACCCGGAATGCCCAGATGGAGAGGTAGCATGGACTTAAGAGTCCCATAAGAGGTCCTTAGCAGCCTGAGATAGTCCACCGATTTGCAAAGCACCCCAGAAAGAGTCCAGGCCACCAAGGTCAGCCGACCCTCCAGGATTAGAAGGTGTGGGTTTCCCTTCGGGTCCGTGAGAAGCGTTAGGTATGAAGACAGGAGGAGAAGATCCTCACAGGACAGTCCCCGAAGGTCCAGGAAACAAGGTTGGCTCTGTCACAGTGAAGTGACCAAGGTCAGTGTTACTCACTGAACACATAGGTGATGGATAACTCTCACAATTATTGTGAAGGACGAAAAAACGTACGCCCCCGGGGGAGTCCCAGTCTGCAGGAATGCATCCACCATTGTGCACTCCGGATCTGGCAGCCAATTGAAGAATGCTAAAGTCTGCTGGTCCCTCTACAGGTGCGAGAACCAATCTGTGGTGATATGTATCTACCCTGGGAGGTAGTCTGCTCTTAGGGAGATCCTTCGAGGGACCCAGAAATCGAAGATGCCTTTCGTGATGTTTGATAGGAGACAGGAGCAGACGCCGTCCAGGCAATTGATATACTGGACTGCCGATGCTCTGTGCATTCACAGTAGAATGTAACAAACGTATTACTCCTTCACCAGACTGCGGATAGTGAGTCTAAGAGTTACAGGCAGTCAATGTAAAGGGAGAGTTCCTGAGTTAGTTGTGCACATGCCTTCTGTGGGTGCACTCTCGCGGGTTGCTTCTGCAGCCCCACAGGCTGGTATCCAGCTCCAGAACAAAGTCTGGTTGGTCGTAGGTGGGGCCCGAGGAAACCTCACCATGAGGCACAACATGCAGTGGCGTACTAGGGGAGGGGGTGGCAGTCCGCCCTGGGTGCCACAAGGTAGGGGGGAGCCACCAGGGCTGGCCAGGCTTGGGGATGTGTGAGCTGTGTGGCTGTACAGGGTGCCAGGCAGTCGACACAGCTCACACACGCAGAGGCCGGGAGCAGGAGAACTGTGTGCATCTGACTGTGTCTGACTGTCTTCGCCCTGCAGTAAGCCGGCATCTGGGACATGACATCATCCCGGCATCAGCGTCATTACAGTGCCAGCGAGGGACCTGTGCAGGAAGAGCATAGTGATCCCAGCAGCAACCACTGACCACCAGCCCTCCCAAATCAAGGTAGGAAAGTTGGGTGGACCTCTTATTAAATGTGTGTATGTATGTGATGTTTGTGTACATCGGTGGAAGGTGGTCAATTGGGCCTAATTTGGACATTTCCACTTAGGGGTGTACTCACTTTTGTTTTCAATGGTTTAGACATTAATAGCTGTGTGTTTATTTGAGGGGACAGCAAATTTACACTGTTATACAGGCTGTACACATACTACTTTACAATGTAGCAGAGCAGTGGCGTACACATGACCCATGGGGCCCCGGTGCGAAAATTGATCCGTGGGCCCCCCCCCCGCGGGTCGGGGCCGCAACACATGGCGGCGGGCACCTGGTCGCAGGGCTGCGATCCCGCGACCGCGGTATGCACACACACTTAAAGGACCACTACAGACACCCAGATCACATCAGCTCAATGAAGTGGTCTGGGTGCCAGGTCCCTCTAGTTTTAACCCTGCAGCTGAAAATATAGCAGTTTCAGAGAAACGGCTATGTTTCACTGAGTGTTAATCCAGCCTCTGGTGGCTGTCTCATTGACAGCTGCTAGAGGAGCTTCCACGATTCTCGCTGTGAAAATCACAGTGAGAAGACACTGAACGTCCATAGGAAAGCATTGAGTAATGCTTTCCTATGGGCGGTTTAAATGCGCGCGCGCCTCTTGCCGCGCATGTGCATTCGGAGCTGAGAGGCGGAGGGATCCCCAGTGCCAAGGGAGTCCGACGCTGGAGAAAGGTAAATGCGGAAGACACACACACACTCTCACGAACAGACTGTCACGTATTCATCCGCTTATAGAAATGTGGTTAATGACATTTACTGTCCACACAGGAAAAGTTGTGCCGAGCAGCAACCTAATCCACAGAAGGTTTAATGCTGAGCAGTAATTGTGCAAATGAAACCTGGTGTCATGTATTCATCCGCTTATAGAAAAGTGGTTAATGACATTTACTGTCCACACAGGAAAAGTTGTGCCGAGCAGCAACCTAATCCACAGAAGGGTTAATGCTGAGCAGCAATTATGCAAATGAAACCTGGTAACTGACTTTGGGGTCAAAGGCCGGTTACAGCCTATCAGAACTAAAGGAGGGGTATTTAGGCCCAGTTCTCAGCCTGCTCAGTGCCCTGTCGTGGTTTCCCTTGTGGTTGTCTGAGAGCGCGTTCCTGTTTATAGTTTTCTACCTGGTTTTTGACTTTGGCTTTGTTTATTGACTTCTCTATATTCTGGTATCCTGACTCCTGGCTTTCCTCATCGCTGTGTCCCTTTCTGTGTTCCCTGACCTCGGCTAGTATTTTTGACTATTCTTTGTACGTTAAATCCGGCCATTCTAAGGACCGGTAATACGTTACTTATTTGTCATCCGTGCTGTACAGTTCTACGTGCTGGATCAAACAGTAATCCTGACATTACGACATGGCCATAGATCCTGTAGAACTGTGTCAGCACATAGCTGCTTGCGAGAGGAAATTAGAGGAGAATGATCACCGCATGGATCAATTCACTCAGGCTTTAAGTACGCTTCTCGCTAGAACGGAGCATCTGCAGCCTGCAGCGTCTCCTCCTATAGCACCTCTACCCTGTGTACCTCCACCCACTGTTAATAGGACTCCTAGCATCTCCTTATCACCATCCCTACAGTTTGATGGCAATATCCAGGAATGCAGGAGTTTTCTTAATCAGGTGGAGTACCATTTTGAGGCCTCACCAGGGTCATTCCCCACGGACAGAGCAAGAATTGGTTATCTAATGAATCAATTAAAGGGCAAGGCCCTTGTCTAGGCTAATCCGTTGTGGGAGAGTAATCGGAGCATAGCTCATAATTACCAGGAATTCCTTGCCGAATTCAAGCTCACTGAGCCATTGGGTAGAGAGGATGATGCCTCCACTGCCCTAATGCCCATCAGACAAGGTAACCGGTCTATCTCGGATTATGCTATTGAATTCCGTACCTTAGCTTCCGAGGTAGACTGGACTAACAATGGGTTAATCTCAGCATTCAAAAAGGGTCTCTCAGAGACTATACTAGATGAGATAGCCGCTAAAGAATTACCTAAGAGTCTTAACGAATTTATTACGTTTGTCATGCATATTGATAATAGGTTAAGACTCAGAGAAGTCACCAGAAGCAAGACCAGACGTACGGCTATGTCCCTAGCACCTCAATTCTCTAAACCTGTTTTGTCTAACCTCCCTGTACAGTCCGAACCCGAACCTATGCAGTTGGGGGTCACTAGACTGTCAGAGGCCGAAAAACAGTATAGGAGAAGGGAGGGGTTATGCCTATATTGCGGTAGAAAGGGACATATGATAACTAATTGTCCAGTGCGTCCGGAAAACTTCCGCACCTAAGAACCTTAAGGGGACAGATCTTAGGTGTGATGGAGTTGTCCTCTAACAAAAACAAAAGTAGATTCCTCCTTGAGGTATCTATTTCCCTTGATAACATGAAGTTTTCTTGCAGTGCCCTAATGGACTCAGGTGCTGCTGGAAATTCTATTGATGTCCAGTTTATTGGGGTAATGAGATACCGGTCAGGGAGAGACCTACGCCGCTAGCTGTAGAGGCTATTGATGATAGACCACTCACACAACCGCTTATAACCCACGAAACTGTCCCTATTACGATCTCCATTGAGGCCTCCCATAGGGAGGAGATGACGTTTCAGGTTATTACTTCTCCATCATGTCCTATCATATTAGGGTTTCCGTGGCTGAGTAAGCACAATCCCTATATTGACTGGGCTAATGGGGAGATATTAGAATGGGGTAAAGAGTGTATGGGGAGATGTATAAAACCAGTACTAAAGAGATTGGATACTATTGACCTTCCCACTACCACTCCCCAAACTCCTGGTGTTCCCATACAATACCGAGAACTTCAGGAGGTGTTTAACAAGGCTCAATCCGATGTATTGCCTCACCACAGAGCATATGACTGTGCCATTAACCTGTTTCCAGGCGCTATGCCACCTAAGGGGGCAGTTTATGCCTTATCTCCCCAGGAGAGTAAAATAATGGAGGAATACATCAAAGAATCCTTGAGCAAAGGGCACATAAGAAAGTCATCCTCACCAGCTGGTGCAGGATTCTTTTTTGTTGAGAAAAAGGGTGGTGAGTTACGCCCTTGCATAGACTACAGGGCACTTAATAAAATCACTGTAAAAAATGCATACCCTATCCCACTCATTTCCGAATTGTTCGATAGACTTCAGGGAGCTAAAGTATTTACTAAGCTTGACCTTAGGAGCGCTTACAATTTGGTTAGAATTAAAGAGAATCATGAGTGGAAGATGGCATTTAATACCCGTAGTGGACACTATGAATATCTGGTAATGCCATTTGGGTTATGCAACGCCCCGGCCGTATTCCAAGACTTTATAAATGATGTACTCAGGGAATTCATTTACTCATTTGTCTTGGTTTATTTGGACGATATTTTGGTGTATTCCCCTGATCTTCAAACTCACCACTCCCATGTGAAACAGGTTCTGCAGACGTTGTTGAAAAATAAACTTTATTGTAAATTAGAAAAGTGCATATTTCACCAGCCTGAAGTCCACTTTTTGGGTTACAACATCTCTGTATCGGGATTTCAAATGGATCCTAAAAAACTAGAGGCTGTACTACAATGGCCATTACCCTCTGGTTTAAAAGCCATTCAAAGGTTTATTGGTTTTGCCAACTATTACAGAAGATTCATCAAGGGATTTTCTTCTGTAATAGCCCCAATCACAAATATGACTCGCAAAGGGGTTAGTAGCACGGTATGGTCCAAAGAGGCTGTGAATGCTTTTGAGACTCTTAAACAAAGATTTGCCTCTGCGGACATACTAAAACATCCCGACACTAGTAAACCTTTTATATTGGAGGTTGATGCATCCGAGACAGGGGTAGGGGCTGTTCTCTCTCAGAGAGAAAGCCAGGGAACACCATTGCATCCTTGTGGCTACTTCTCCAGAAAGATGTCTCCTGCTGAGCGCAACTATGATATTGGCAATAGAGAACTGTTGGCCATTATTCTTGCCCTCAAGGAGTGGCGACATCTTTTGGAGGGTTCCAAGGACCCCCTGTTGATCATAACCGACCACAAAAATCTGGCATATATAGGGGATGCCAAACGTTTGTCTTCCAGACAGGCTAGATGGTCACTGTTCCTTTCACGTTTTAACTTTCTCATTACTTATAGACCTGGTTCTAAAAATACCAAGGCTGATGCCTTGTCCAGGCAATTTGATAATGAGTCAGCTCCGGAACAGGTGACATCTCCTATTATTCCACCAGAGTGTATTATTGCTACTACTGTCCTCTCACTGTCTTCTCCACTGCTTGGCACCATACTGGAGGCCCA